TTGCAGAATCAAACACAGACGTGAGTTCCTTCTGCTAACAGCCTAGGAAGAAGCCCATCAAACACAATGTTCTCCTTTACACTCCTCTCCATATCTTGTATTCACGTTATATGTGCACTTGCAGAATTCTTAATAGCACCACAGTCCTACATCACACAGATATACCTTAAACTGTTTGACAAGTTCACTTTTGATAGACATTTAGATTTTTATCAGTCATTTGCTAATACAAAAATGATTTGTTAAAGGAACATTTACCCATATGGACTGAAAAGTCAAAGAATATATGAATTTTTATTTCAAATACTACCACATTTTCTATCCAAAGAGGTTGTACCAATTTAATCTTCTATTGATAGCATATGATGCCATTTGATTCTATGCCACCCTCATCGAAACACTGCATTTCTCATTTATTTTTGCCACACTGACTTACTGAAGAAAGTGTGATCAGCTAATATGAATTTATTGTGGCAGATACATTTCTTCTGGAGAATAATGACAGTGACACAGGACTTTAGTTAACTTCTAGGACTGCATTTCCTCAATTCTGTATTCTTTTTCCTGGCTAAATCCTCCTTAAAAGTCTTGTAAGGCTGCTTCCTCCTGGAAGCCTTCCTGACTCTCTCGAGGATGATTAAGAGCTCTTCTTTTGGGATCCTACTGTATCCTGTGTCCATCCTTCTGTGGCTCTACATTTACTCATTTGTTTCCACTTTCAGACTGAACCATCCTGGTGTAAATTAAGTATATATCGGCGGCCTTGGCCCTCCTCCAAGGTAAATTTATAAACTTGAGTTTCTGAGCTTGAGAACCTAGACAAGCAATGATCCCACCAGGAAACTATACCTCTACAAGACTACTAATTGGCATCCGTTTGGATTTTAGTCTTGGAAAACTTAGGAATACATTGCAAAAACAGAAAACATCTCCTTATCAAGTTAATCCATCTAAAACTGTAAGTAAGCTGGACATAGGGGAACACACCTATTACCCTAGCACTCTCGGAGGCTGAGGGAAGAGGACTGCAAGTTTGAGCTCAGCCTGGGTAACTCAGTGACTTAGTACGACCTTGTCATGAAATACAAAAAGACTGAGAATGTTGCTCAGTGTGCAGAACCTGGGTTCAATACTCAGTACCACAAAAACAAAAAAACAAAAAAGTACACTGAGAAATTTTTAAAAATTACTATGAATATTTTCCTTGCTCAAATCAGCAAGAAGAAAGGGACTCTCTTATATGCTCCAGAACAAATGTCCTTAACTGACAAGAAGAATCTAGTTCAAACAAAGTCTACCCACAGGATGGGGATTTAGCTCAGTGGTGCCACTGCCTGCCTTGTAAGCACAAGGACCTGAGTTCAATCCCTGGTAACAAAAACAACAACAAAAACAAAGTCTACCCACAGATGCAGTGTTCTGCTTCATGAATTCAAAAGTTAATCAAACCCACCGCTGCCACTGACTGTCACAACAGACAACTGGAACTCTTTCATGCCCACCACCTGTACTCTCCATCTCCAGGGAGTAACACAGAGCATGCTCTTTCTTCCAGTCAATCTGGTGATGTTATCATTTTTTTGTTTATTTTTCAATGAGACCATGCACTTAAGAGGAAACAGGGCATAATATATGTGTGCTTTCAGAAAAATGCTTTAATGTTGTAAATAATAGCCCAAACCACTAATGAGCCTTTTTCAGAGGTGCCTGCCTTGCAATGAGGGAATTATTTAAGCTCTGGAAATCCAATCAACAAATATTTATTTTGCAACTTCAATGTGCATGCTTAAACATCTTATTCCATAAATAAAATACGTCGCTCTAGGAAAGTACATTAATTCAACACATATTTATTGAGCATTCACTATGTGGCAGGCACTACAGCTCTTTTATGGTTTGGATCTAAAATGTCTTCAAAACTCATGGGTTGAAGGCTTGGTCCCAACACAGCAGTGTTCAGAGGCTTTAAGAGGTCACTAGATCAGAAGGGCTCCAACTTCATGAACAGGTCAATCTACTGCTGGAGTCAAAGCTTAACGGGCTTTGGGGAGATGGCAGGAAATGTAGAAACTGGGGCCTAATTAGAGGAAGCAGGTCACTGGGGCTGTGCTCATAAAGGTGTGTCTTATAGCTGGCCCCCTGTTTCTCTCTCTTTGTTTTTTCCTGCCTAGCTATCATGATGAGAGCAACTTTATTCTACCATGTGCTTCCTACCATGATGTTCTGCCTCACCACAGGCCAAAGACAATGGGCTGAAACTTCTAAATCTCTGGGCCAAAATAAACTTTTACTCTTTTAAATTGCTTATCTCAGGTATTTTATCAAAGCAATAGAAAGCTTATACAAGTCCCCAAAGCAAATAAGGCAGAGCCCCTGCCCTTAAGTTAAGAACAGCCTCACTGGGCTGGGGATTTAGCTCAGGGGTTCCACAGACTACCTTGCAAGTGCAAGGCCTGGAATTCAATCCCCAGTTCC